CACAGGAAGAGAACACGAGCGCAGAAGGACATGAAGACTATATGGACAGGAGAAAAGGACTTACAAAGAGGCTGCATGCCCTGCAGGAATGGAAGATTTTGCTCTATAAGGAGTAGAGAGATATTGAAAGACACTAAATGGATGACCTTTAAATCTTCAAAAAGCCACTTTAGCATAATTTGGAGGCTATTTATTAACTTGTGAGGAAATGGCATTACTTGGAAGTCTATATAGTAATATAGTAATGGTGAGAACCTACTCGGAGGCTGGCTAAATTTGATTTCATCATTATCAAGAGAAAAAAAAGTAAAAATCCTCCGTAGATATAGAGACACAGGCACACATATAAATACATATAGATCATCTAGCAATAATATATATGTATAGAAATTTCTGGGCATGAGAAGACCCAGAATGCCTGTTCAAATAAAAGGCCAGGGAATGTGGTTCTGTGAAAGAACACCTGCCTTACCTGTGTAAGGTTCTGAGTTTATTCCCTAACACTGTACACAAGCACATGCACATCATGCGTGCACGCGCGCACGCACACACACACACACACACACACACACACGCATACACAGAAAGAGAGAGAAATAGTGTAATAGAATTATCCAAAGAATTTAATTAAAACCTGAATTTACTGACATTATAGACTAAAGATGGGATTTATACAATATATATTCCTCCAGTTTATTGAAAGGACTCAGCAGTTGATTGAATTTGAGACAATGGAAAGCTATGAGACAAAGGCTGATTTGAGATTTTAAACTTGGGGACTAGATACAGAATGTTTTCTATTTATAGAAATAGAGATTTCAAGGAGGAAGAGAAGATGATTAGCACTGTAGCACTGTTTGTCGATTTGCTCGAGTGGACCTAGTAACATCTCCATTGTGAGAACTTGTTGTTACTGTTTTTGGTGTCTTGAATACACCACAGGGAGTTTGCCAGGGTCTGCCGTGTGGGCGGGATACTTTTGGTAGCTTCTTGGGCTCTCTGAGGGGCAGAGGAATCGAACCTAGGTTGGCTGTGTGCAAGGCATACACCCTACCCGCTAGGCTAGGATCGATATTTAACTCATTGAAAATATAAAGCTTCAGGCTAGAATACAGCAGGAGGGTATTTGACTTTCATGTGGATGACCCCAGTTCTATCCCCAACACCCTACATGGTCCCCCAAGCCTGCCAGGAGTGATCCCTGAGCACAGAGTCAAAAGTAAGCCCTGAGCACTGCCGGATGTGGCCCAAAAATAAAATAACAATAAAAGTGCAGAGATTGTAGTGGCAATGAGGCATTCTTGTCAAAGGAGTTATCAAATGAGGACATTTATCACTGGAGCTTGAGAAAAGCTAGAGACTAGAGAAAGAATTTGAGAAGTTATATATCTAGAAGGTCCTATTCTAGAAGCATTGAAGTGAAGAAGAAAGAAATGTGAATAATAGGAGTTAGGAAGGGGGGTTATTTGAAGGGGTGTGTTTTGGGCCACACACAGAATTGCTCAGGGACTATTCCTGGCTTTGTGCTTATAAATGACCCCTGAATATGTCCCAGGCACCTGAATATGTACCTTCTCCCCTGTACTGTCTCTATAATCCCAAGAGTCAGAGTTAGGACAGAGTCATAGATATTTCTATATTTGGATCTGGAGGCAGACGGAGGCAAAGGAACTTATAGGGACTGAAAAAGTTAGAAACTAAGAATAAAGTCTCATCAGACATGAGAGCAATTTCTGAAAGAAAGAAATTATTCCCAAAGCATGTTGCTACAGATGGTTAGAGCAGATGAGGCCATAGATTTCAGCAATCAGGAAGTCGTTTTAGTAAAGGGTAAAGGGAGAAGTCACATTTTCAGCAGTTTTGGAATCAGTACAATCTAGGAAGAGGTCAGAAAGGTAGGAGCATTGAGTTGAAAAGTTAGAAAAAGCAAGATTTGTTTGATTCCAAACCCAGAGGAGTGAAAAGGGAAGGATCATATCCAAAAATACCAAAAGGAGGAGTTTGTATTGAAATAAAAGAAGGGTACATCCTCTGAAGCAGAAAGAGGAAAGAGAACAGAGACTGAAACAGAAAAATTGAGAAGTATGTTTAAGGAACTCTAGTCAGATGGTTGAATATTTTCAGTGTTATAGCCCATAAAGAGTCAAGTTTGACCATGGTAAGGGTTAAATATTTGAGACAGAGCCTGTGGGGTATCAAATAATGTGCCAGTATTACACAGCAAAAGAATCTGGACCCCATAGAGAATAATATGGATTTACCATAACTTCGAGCCCGGCAAGCTACCGAGAGTATTCAATATGCCAGACACAGTAACAACAAAGTCTCCAATGGAGACGTTACTGGGCCCGCTCGAGCAAATCGACCATAACTTCCTAATGCCTTCTTCAACAGCTGAGAACATCCATAGAGTTGATTAGGTATTATCAAAGAGCACAGAGTACAGAAAAACACAGAATGTTTAAGACTTGATTCTCACACCAGTGGAATGTCACCAGGATCAAGTGGTACATGGAAAGAAGTGATGGTAGTAAAAGGCTTCAGACTACTTCCCTCATTCTCTCATGATGGAGGAGCATCTCGGGGTCTTCCATTCTTCCATTCCTTCAGGTCCTGACCTGAAGTGGCTCTGCCTTCATCTGCAGCACAGAGGCATCCCATACACATTTCACAGGAGGGGGAGAACTGTTACTAAAATATTGTTTGAAAAACCACTAGACATGGAAGAAGTGAATGGAAATGAGAGCAGAAGTCATAAAAAGAAGGAAGTTAGATGGCTGGAATTGGGAAGGATGGCAAAGAAGGACAAGAGAAGGACAAGGAGGATTTGGACATTGTGATCTCTGAGGAGTCCAGCATAGTGTTCTCTTGGCAAAGAATTGAAGGAGGGTTCAACAGCAGTGAGAGAACCGAAGAACCAGAAAACCAGTGTGTTAGGAGATTGTCACCTCCTAGGGTATTAAAGACTCTTAGGGTGAGGGAAAGCAACTGGTGAGGAAATAGATTGAATAAAGTTCTGAAGTCTGTGTGGAAGCAGAACTAATTGTAAAAGTATAAAATTGAATAAAGTTCCAAATATTGGTTTGGAATTATTTTGAAAAGGATCATGCTTGGCAGTGGTCCAGCCCTGTTGTGGCTGCAGTACTGTCAGGAGGAACACAAGGTACTGCAGATTAGAACTGGGGCTTCTTTATGAAAATCATGCACTCCAGCCTTCTGGGTTATTTCCTTAGACCCCCACAATTGGAGTTTTACACAGGCAAGTTTTGAAGTAAAAATTATTGCATGTAGAGAACAAAGATTATTAAATCTCTCTCTGTTATTAAATCTATTCTGTTGTAGGAAACATCAAGACTCTCCCTCTCCCTCTCTCTCCCTCCCTCCCCCACCCCTCACACACACACACACACACACACACATTCTCTCTCTCTCTCTCTCTCTTGCTCTCTCTCATGCAGAGAAAGTAAATCAAAATGATTTCTGGTTGAAGAGAGTTTTGATGTATATGGTACAATGGGGTTTCAGTTACTGTGTGACTGTGTGAGGGCCAGAATACCCTTTTCTGGAGTAAGTTATAGTTCAGCAGAAACCCATGCAGGCAGAGTTCACTCATAGGTCTATAGGTTCCCAACGCTGAGGGACAGGCCCCCAGGTGTGAGACAGTCCTTTTGTGAATGAGTTGGAGATGGGAAAAATACAAACATATACCTAGTAGCTCAGATGAGAAGCAGAGAAAGGAGTGACTAGGAAGTGACAGAGTTGTCTGAAGACCCAGTGGGAATGAACAGGGGTTCAAGAGACCACATTTAGGAGTAAGACAAGTGTAGAGTTTAAAGGAATCCATCAGGGGCTGCAGTGATAGTACAGAGAAAAAGGCTCTTTCCTTGTATGTGACCAACCCCAATTTGATTCCCAGCATCACATATGGTTCCCCAAGCCAGGAGTGATCCCGGAGCATAGAGCCAAGAGTAAGCTCTGAATACAGCAAGGTATGGCCCCAAACTAAGAACACTATCAAACTGGAGAAGTCACACTAAGAAAAATAAGTCTGAGGGAGAAAGACATGTACCAGATGATCTTATTTATAGATGATATAGCAAGAAACAAAACTAGAAGATTCAGTGGCCAATGGGAAATCATCCCATGAAGTCTAACCTAAGAACTGAGGTAACCAAGGAATGAGGGTTGGAGAAACACTCCAACAGTCAGTGGTGGAGAGATTTGAGCATTTTGGTAGTGAATGTGGTGTGGTAATATTGTATCCCAAATTTACACTGTTGTGAATTTATGTTACCTCAAGAAATAAATGAATAAAGAAGGATCATAATCAACATATGTGGTCACCTACATTTCTAGAAATGTGAGGTTCTAAGTTTGGTCCTGGTACCACCTGGGTTTTTTGGCACCGCAGAATTGCTTAGGGGAGGCCCTTATAAATTAAAATGCCAGCCAAGAGCTAAATTATGGTCCATTAACTGAATCCCTTCATCACGCCAGGAGGCAGACTTTGCGTCCTCAAAAAAGGTTAGATTGTGAAAAGCGTAGGCTCCTGGTACAAATGATTAAAGTGGGAAAGTAAATAACACAAAACATTTGACCAGTGAGCCAAAACCTCTCTTCCTGCGTAGGCAGGAGATGAATTGCTTACACTGGTCCTGCCCAACCCCAAGTATCTCAGCTGGTTGCTTAGCACTGACTGCTGGACCAGAAATCTGGTAACGCGACCCCAAGGTCATCATCTGCTACAGTTCCCACAACTGCTCTCCATGTAAGGACAGCTCAGCAGAGTGAAGGGGGCAGGGGAGATGAGGAATGTGGCAAGTATTGGAAGATTCCTTTATCTTACTCAGTTCTGTCAGGTGATTTGCTGGAAGAACCAGATAGAACCTCCTGCCATGACCATGAACTTCTGTTCAGAGACATGGTCTGTAGCAGCATTGCCCTCCCTCCCCATGCCTGCTTCAGCCTAACATCATTCTGTTTCCGATTTGCTCCTCTAGTGTCTTTAGCCTCCAGCACGGTTGGCCTCGCAGGGCAGGTGGTTCACACAGAGACCACAGAGGTGGTGCTGACGGCAGACCCTGTCACAGGATTTGGGATCCAGCTGCAAGGCAGTGTGTTTGCCACGGAGACGCTCTCTTCTCCACCTCTGATTTCCTACATTGAAGCTGACAGCCCCGCAGAGAGGTGAGATGGTCTCTTTCACTGTATCTTCGGTTCTGCATTGCTCAGGCCGGCTATCTTTGAATGGCCAATAAATTATTGAATAGCACTCAATGTAGAAAATGCAAGATGTAATGAACTCTGTTCCAACAATAAAATTTTATATTCTTGATCAGGTCTGAGGAGAATAGCAAGCATGGATGCCTGGAGCTAGCAGATTTTAGTCTATCCAGGACTGGAGGCTATATTAATGAAAAAGAGAGGGAAAAAACTCAGGAAAAAAAACCCTGAAGTTCAAACTTTAATAATTTTTCTGCCATAAGGGAATGTATATTCATCATGGTTTGATCTGATTGGTTCAGATAAGATTATAACAATACTCTGTTGTTGAATTATTGATTAGCTGTCTGCTCTACACCTCCCTTGCTCACATTTGTACCCATGACAGGCAAGAGACCACACATGGCTGTTGCCTGTGGTATTGAATAGCAAGACCAAACACTTGTGCTCTTTTGAAAGGATCAGACTAGGGAGTTTGGAAAAATTCAGACTATAAGTAATTTACACTCTCTCTCCAACCTCTGCCATGTGTTTCTAAATTTAGATGTGGAGTGCTACAGATTGGAGACAGGGTAATGGCCATTAACGGAATTCCAACTGAAGACAGCACCTTCGAGGAAGCCAATCAGCTCCTCCGGGACTCATCCATCACGAGCAAGGTCACCCTGGAAATCGAGTTTGATGTTGCAGGTATGATCATATCATCTCAAGCCAGCAGCACAGTCAGGAGCGGGCTGCATGTGAATTATTTGTATTATGTGGCAGAGGAAGCATATATATATATATATATATATATATATATATATATATATCACATACGTTGAAGTTGTTCTTTTTTAGAAGGTGTCATTTTGAATTGAGCATTATTTTTGTATTATACATTAAAACATCACTCAGAAGAACAAATGAAAATAAATGTGACAAAATGAATAAATGATTGCTGCTATAAAGGTGATAAAAAGAAATCATGCAGTTCTTTCAGACTTTTTCATATTTGCTAGAGAACCCATATTCTTCAGTCACAGGGACAACAGCTTCTCTTTGACCCTTGATCCTGCAAAGACTCCATGAAAGTTCTATAGGGAACAGTCAAGTTCATTAGGTGGATTTATACAAGCTCTCTAGGTAAAAATGTAGTCTCTACTATTGAATGGATACTTGTTTAAAAGGACAATTCCGGATATGCCATAGCCATTACACTGAATCCCGAGCCAAGCTATTTCATTCAGGGCACTCAGTAGGGGGGGTGGAGGGGTGGGTGAGTCCCCTCCCTGCCCCAAGGCATCCAGCCCTAGCAGCTGAAAAACTCCAGAGCTCAACCACCACCATGCTCACGGCTGCTCTCCACACACTTAAGCGGAGCTTCACCCATCAGTGAACCTATTCCTGGACATCTTGTACTTTACACCACCAAAATACCAAGAGTAGCACACCATGTTTTATGGGGTTTAAAATTGAAGACCACCAATCTTAGGGGGAAATATATTTATATAGCTATAGATATAAGCACAAAAGTCTCAATCTTTAACAACATGTAAAGTAAGCCCTTATAGAAGGGCTTAATGTCTCTAGGTGAAATACAACAATCTTCACACACCTTTCTCTAAGGAAAGTTTTTTGGATCATTTTTAGTGGTTTATTCCTAACAAACAATACAAAATAAATTATTTCGGTTCTGCTTTGGGACAGTGGTTGGGATTCTGGATGGAAACATAGGAAATATGGTGGTGGGAAGGTGTAATGGTGGTGGGATTGGTATTTGAATATTAAGTGCAATCAAATATTGTGAACTACTTTATAAAAAATAAAATAAAATGTAATAAAAATAAATAAAATAAAATAAAATGACAATTCCAAGGAATGATTGGAGATATAGTATACATGTTAAGGCACTTGCCCTACACAGAGCTGAGCCGGGTTCAATCCTTGGCACCACATATAGTCCCCTGAGCACAGACCCAGGAGTAAGCCCTGAGTATAGCTGAGTATAGTCCAATACCTCTCCCGTCCCCCTCTTCCAAAATAACAAGGAATTCTTTCCTGAAGAGTTTTAGTAGAGATCAAGACTTGCAGTGAGGATTGAACTCAACTCCAGTAACAGCAGGAACATGTAGATGACTGAAGGGAGGTCTTGTCATCAGCTTAAAAGGGAGGTCTAGTCAGCAGTATGTGAGCTTTGGAACTAGCTCACATTTAACCCAGTTATCTCACTTCATAAAAAAACTGTCTCACAGATCCAGTGACCATAACCAATCAGCAAAAAGTTCCCTGTGACATAAAAATCACATTATCCCAATAAGTATTTGCTGACATTGACAACAGGTCAGTTGTTCTGTAACAATGGAGACACAACAGTAGACAGGAAAAAGACAATAAAAGACAAAACAAAAAATCCTGTCTTCATGAAATTTGTATCGCAGCAGTTCAGAAGGTTAATGTTTAGGGGCTGGAAAGATAGAACAGCAAGTAGGATGTTCACCGTGCACGTGGCTGACGTAGATTCCATCCTCAGCATCCCAAAAGCTATTCCTTTGAGTGCAGAGCAAGGACTAGCCCCTGAGCATGTCTTGGTATTCCCCCTCCCCCAAAAAATACCCACAAAAGTTAATGTTTAGGGGCTGGAGCGATAGCACAGTGGGTAGGGCATTTGCCTTACACGCGGCCAACCCGGGTTCGATTCCCAGCATCCCATATGGTCCCCTGAGCTACCGCCAGGAGTAATTCCTGAGTAACCCCTGTGCATTGCCAGGTGTGACCCAAAAAGCCAAAAAAAAAGTTAATGTTTAAATTCATAAATAGAAACTTATTTGGGGACAGAGCTTTTCCAGGTAGTACTCTGGGTGAAGATCACTCTCAGAGATATTCAGCTGGAGATTCAGTACTCTGGCCCAGGAGATTCAGTACTCTGGCCCAGCAATGCATGCAGCTTGGGTCCTGCAATGCTGGGACCTCCAGAGCCACAGTACTTAGGCACTGGGATCCACGCGAGGTCAAGGATCAAACTCAGGGCATGTGCATGTGAGGTAGGTGCTCTGGCCCTTTCTATTATCTCTCCAGCCCAACAACCACACATGTAGACAGTAGTAAGTACTCTGAGGAAAATAAAGCAAGAAGTTAGTAAATGGCTTGCTATTTTTATAGGATGACTCTCTAAGGAAGTGCTTTCGGAGCAGAGATTTGAAGGTGGAAAAGGAACTAGCCTTTTCAAAGTCTGGAAAACAGCATTGCAGGAAGAGGGAGAATTTTGTGTAATAGACATGAGCCAGAGTAAGTTTGGTGGGTTTGAAATACGGCGGAAGGACTCTGGCTAGAATGTGAAAGGGAGCATATTTTTTTTAAATTTGGGGGCTTCCAGCGGTCCTCAGGGCTTCACCATGCAGTGCCAGAGATTGAACTGAGGACTCTGTACATGCCAGGCCTGTGAACTAGCCCTGTGAGAGATTTCCCTGGCCCTGAGGATAAGATTTGAATGTAGAAATAGGCACATCTTTGGGTGGGAGAGGTTGGATGGACAAATAATGCAGTGGCTTGGGAAAGAACAAAAGAAAAACCTTAGAGTCTTTCCCAGGTGTAATGAAGTCATTAAACATTTACTGAAGGCAGTGAGATAACCCACTGACTATTGAGAAAGCACCTTCTGCAATGTTGGGGGAGGGAAAGATGGTAAAAGCAAAAAAACAGGAGCTGTAATAGCTGGACACGGAATGACAGTGTCTGGGAGACAGTACCAGACACAGTGACAGTGGAACTTAGGATATGACTTGTGGCAGAACCCAGAACCGACAGCACGTGCTTATTGAGCAGATATGAAAGTTGAGAGAAAGGGAACGTCGAGGGTGATTCCAAAAGAACAGCTGCTTAGACAGAGGTGTCCTCAGGAGAAGCAGCCTGGGAGTAGGAACTGGGAGATAATGAAAAGAGTTCTGTGTTAGATAAGACTAAGCAAATCTGCTGTCAATACTCAGAAGCCAGGACAAGCATATTCATTCCTTAATTCAAAAGACAATTCCAGAGCTGCAGTTACTTAGTGCTCGGCACTGTTAAGTTCAGACCACTGAAAGAGAAAATAGAAAGGATCGGTTCCTTCAAGAAGTTTCTAGCCAATTAGATAAGAGCAAGACTAGCCGGAAGATAAGAATAGACTTGCCAAATGTATGCTGCCACTAGAATGTTGCAGAAGACGCCCAGGAGACTGCAGGCTGGGTGTTGTGCTGGAAAGCAGAACCGAGGAGGAATTAACATGGCAGTGACTGCTGAGGGCACTCTGGGGAGAGAGAAGTGGGGAGAGGGAGAATGAGGAGGGACTCTGCTAACCAATACTAAGGGATAAATAGGGTTAGTAGCAAAGAAAATAAAGAAGACGCACAGAGAACTGGGAGGAGATCCCCAAAAGCTGGTACTTGGGCTGCCCAAGAGTTTCGAGGCAAGAATCATGACCAATGGTATAAAGACACTCCTGAAAATTTAAGTAATGAGAGGCAGGGAATTTCCAGTGGAGCTGGGAATTAGGAAGGGAAATGTTGCAGAGTTGTTTTATGGATCAGAGGAGAAAAGGCAAATGACAGTGAGCTGAGAGGTAAGGACAGTTGGAGAAAGCCAGAAGGACCATGTTTTCGGTCTGCCAAGAAACTGGGGTTTAGAAGTGGGGTTGGCAGGAAAATTGTAGTGAATGACTGAAAGAGACTGGAGGCTTTCTGTGGGATGATTCCCTGAAAACCTTTGTAACATTTAGTGACAGACATGTGTTCTATTTCTTGTTGCCTTATCCTCTAATCAGTGGTTTTCCGTTTTGCCCTTGGGCACATTAGGCAATACTAAGAAATGTTACTAGTGGGACTGGAGTGATAGCACAATGGGAAGGGCGATTCCCAGCATCCCATATGGTCCCCTGAGCACTGCCAGGGGTAGTTCCTGAGCGCAGAGCCAGGAGTGACCCCTGTGCATTGCCGGGTGTGACCCAAAAAGTTACTAGAGGGGCTGGAGTGATAGCACAGTGAGTAAGGTGTTGCACGAAGCTGATCCGGGTTCAATTCCCAGCATCCCATATGGTCCCCCAAGCACTGCCAGGAGTAATTCCTGAGTGCATGAGCCAGGAGTAACCCCTGTGCAAGGCTGAGTGTGACCCAAAAAGCAAAAAAAAAAAAAAAAAAGTTACTAGAGATAAAATGAGATAGGAGGGATTCACAGTTCAGAGAGGGTCCAAGGAGATAGCAACAGGGGATGGAGTGGAAAAAAAAAAAAAAACAGGGCACCGAAAGGTGCTCTTTTGTTTTAAGATTGGAGAAATGAACGGGTGAAGTAAATTAGGGCAATGTTGTAGGTGGGTATGTGGGGGAGTTCCAAAGGGTAAAGGAGGCATTGAAGGGAGTGAGTTCCTGCCACACCCCTGCTCGCTCCACCACTGATGAGGTGCACTAGGATATGAGACTCACTGAAGCCCACAAGAGCTCCCACAGATTTGGACACTGAAATCCTTCCACCTGGCTTCTCAGGCTCATTGTCTATTCCCAGAGGAAAGAATTTCAGAAGACAAATAAGGAGACAAGGATATTTTACTTATGAAATACGAGGTTGGAGAGGGATTTGTGTAAGGAGAAAGGGATATAAGTGTTAGATTGAAGTTGGCACTCTCTGGCTTTGTAAGGGATCATACACATTTGGGATATCGGAATGGAAAGCACCCATAAAGG